ATGGGGTAGTGGACTGGAGCGGGGCAGGTGGACAGGAGCGGGGAGTGCAAGAGTAGTTCAGGCAGACCCTCCTGCAGCCAGTGACCTGGTCCCCACTGGCAGATGCGTAGCTATTCTGTGGCCTGGGTGGATGTGGGGCCTGCTGGGCCCAGCAGAGCCAGCCCCATGGCCAGCACCAGTGCATGGCACTGCTCGTCTCTGCCAGGGGATAGGCTGGAGCAGCAGATTGCTGGGTGCTGCTGGCAGGGGCAGCCCTGGCACAGGAAGGCAGGGTGGGCAGGGAGGAAGCTGGCATGTGCTGTCCCTGTGCTGGGTACATGGCTCCTGGTTAGGGAAGGGGCTGGCTAGGGATCAGAGCTTCTAAGATGGCTGCCAAGTGCTGGCAGCCATTAGGCTGGAGGCTGGAGCTTCCCCCTGGTCACCACAGGGGCACATGGTAAGGCTGAAAGGACTTGGGACTAACTTTAGTGCCAAGTGTGCTAAATTTGGTCCCAAGTTCCTGCACATGTAGACTCCTGACAAAAACTGCTCAATGCACATTATATGTGGATGTGCTTACTTGCACATGTAGACATACCCTCTGTCTCCATCTAGCTGCTAGATCATAAAGAGGTTTATAAGTCCACTGCTGGATCTGAGCTAAGACAACTCAGCCAGGAGGCAGGTACCCTTTAAATACAGAGATCTTGGGTTCAATCCACTCTGTCAATAACTCATTCAGCAGCGCCTTCTCTCCAAAAACGATTTTTCCAGTTTTAAGCTTTACTGCCCATACAAGAAGAAGAAAAATGTTATTTGCTTGTTTATTTTGAGTCATTTTTAATAATATTCTGATTCCTGAACCTCTTTACTTTTGAGGTTTTTATTTGCCTTAGATCCTTAGGAAAAGACATTTTAAAATTTAGTTTAATTCTTTTCATAGTTTCATAGTTTTAGGGTCGGAAGGGACCTAATAGATCTTCTAGCCCGACCCCCCGCCAGGGCGGGAGAACAACAAAAAAAACCCTAAAAACAAAAACAGGACTCAAATGAGTCCAGCCAGGTAGGTATCCAGCCTCTTCTTAAAGATCCCCAGGGTAGGGGCCAGCACCACCTCCCTTGGAAGTTGGTTCCAGCTCCTAGCCGCCCTGACTGTGAAGTAGTTTTTTCGGATGTCCAATCTGTACCTCCTCTCCATCAACTTGTGCCCATTATTCCTTGTTATGCCAGCAGGGGCTAGGGGAAACAGCGTCTCCCCCAAACCCTTCTGGTTCCCCCTAGTGAGTTTATAGACGGTCACCAGGTCCCCCCTCAGCCTTCTCTTGTGGAGGCTGAATAGGTTCAAGTCCCGCAGTCTCTCACTGTAGGGTCTGCCCTGTTGTCCCCGGATCATGCGGGTGGCCCTCCTCTGGACCCTCTCCATGTTGTCCACATCCCTCCTGAAATGGGGCGCACAGAACTGGACACAATACTCCAGCTGCGGCCTGACCAGCGTCGCATAGAGGGGGAGGATCACCTCCCTGGCTCTACTCGAGATGCACCTGTGGATGCACGACAAGGTCCGGTTAGCCCTGCCAACCATGACCTCGCATTGTCGGCCCATGTTCATCTTGGAGTCAATAATGACACCAAGATCCCTTTCCGCCTCCGTGCTCTCAAGTAGGGAGTTCCCCATCGTATAAGTGTGCTGCTGGTTCCTACTACCCAAGTGCAGCACCCTGCACTTGTCCGTATTGAAACGCATCCTGTTCCTGTCTGCCCACCCCTGTAACCTATCCAGATCCTTCTGCAATCTCTCTCTCCCTGCTAGCGTGCTCACCTCCCCCCAAATTTTGGTGTCATCAGCGAATTTAAACAGGTTGCTCTCCACCCCAACATCAAGATCGCTGATGAAGACATTGAACAGCGCAGGGCCCAGGACCGAGCCCTGAGGGACTCCACTACCCACCTCCCCCCAAGTCGAATATGATCCATCCACCACCACCCTCTGAGTGCGACCCTTCAGCCAATCTGCAATCCATCTGACCGTGTAGGCATCTATGCCACAGTCGCCTAGTTTACTAATTAGGATGGGGTGAGAGACGGTGTCAAAGGCCTTGCTGAAGTCCAGAAAGACTACATCCACCGCGACACCTGCATCCATGGCCTTTGTGACCTGATCATAAAAGGCAATCAGGTTGGTCTGACATGATCTCCCCCTAATAAATCCATGCTGATTGCCCCTGAGCATCATCTCGGATGCCGGCCCATCACAAATGTGCTCCTTGATGATCTTCTCAAAGAGCTTCCCCAGGATTGAGGTAAGACTGACGGGCCTATAATTGCCCGGGTCCTCCCTTTTCCCTTTTTTGAAGATGGGGACCACATTAGCTACCTTCCAATCGTCTGGCACCTGGCCCAAGCACCACGATCGCTCGTAGAGCCGTGCCAGGGGCCCTGCAATAACCCCAGCCAGCTCCCTCAGCACCCTGGGGTGGAGAGCATCCGGACCCGCTGACTTGAACGCGTCCAGCCCCTCCAGAAGCTCTCTAACCCGGTCCTCCCCAACCTGAGGTCTGAAGGCGATCCCCTCGCGTCCGGCTTCTATCACAGCAGGGAAGTCCCGGTCCCTGCACAAGAAAACGGAGGTGAAGAATTGGTTAAAGAGGTCCGCTTTATCCTCTGACGCAACCACCAGATTGCCCCGCATATCCTGCAGGGGCCCCACATTACCCGGCGCCTTCTTCATCCTCCCAATATATTTGAAAAAGGACTTTTTGTTATCCTTAATCCTGGACGCTAATCCGAGCTCTATCTCCGCCTTGGCCTTCCTAACAGCCCGCCTGCAGGCCCGAGCAGAGGAGGTATACTCCTCTTTGGAGATTACACCCCCCTTCCACCGGGCGTACGCCACCCTTTTGGCAAGCAGGCATTCCCGGACACCCTTGGTGAGCCAGGGGGGCTTTTGGACACTCCTGCCCGCCTTGCTTCTTGTCGGGATGGACACCCCTTGGGCCCCGAGTATCGTTTCCTTAAGGAACGACCACTCCTCTTGGACGCTGAGTTCCTCTGCCCTCAAGGACCCCAGTTCCTCTCCCACTAATCTCCTCATCTCACTGAAGTTGGCCCTCCTGAAGTCTAGGGCTACCACCTTGCTGCGGGCCCTTGACACACTACACTGGATGGTGAATTCCAGCACGCGATGATCACTCTTGCCCAGGTGGTCAAGAACCTGGAGGCCTCTTACCAGGTTTTCATTTGCTTCTTTTAGTAAAACTATGCCTGCAGCTCTCCATCTTTTCCCCACTAAAGATAATGATAAAACTCTTACTGATTGATCTCAGTGGTGAAAGACTGTTAGGTGATAAAGGATAATGCTGCTTCTAACAAAAGATGTCTTATATTAAAACAAGCAATATTATGAAATATTTCCACTATTACTAATTTCTCCCCCTAACCCCCTGCAAGACTGACAACCTTTGTAAGAACTAGCAGTAGTGTAGATTTTTCTATTAAGTTTCTCAGAAAAGACATTATGTATTTCATAGTAATGAGCATAGCTCTTGTTTCTGCAACACTGAGCAGTTTCTGGCATGTCTGGAATTTCTGGAACTTGACTCTTGCTCAGCAGGTATTTTATTCCAAGACAGTATATCAAAAAGTAATATCAGGTGGCCTATAAGGCTAGTTCTGTTACAAAGATGAAATGCACAGGCTGCACTCAGATGTGCAGGGGCTTGTGCTTGCAGCGGCACAAATAGCAGCAGCACAAATTTATGCTGCTACTCTGTGCCACAGCACACACCTCTGCATGTGTGCTTTGTTGTAGGACAGTGCCCCACTTTGGGCAAATTGGCGTTGCCCAGCTCCTCCCAGCTCCTGGCATGCTGGAACGGCCAGGGCATAAATGAAGGAGTGGAGATGCTCTGGCTGGCAGCCAAAGCATCTCCCTGGAGGACCGAGCCTCCATTTGTTCCAGTGCATGCTATTGTAGTGTTTGCCATGCCATTCCTCCCCCTCCTCAGATTTTTTCGTTGGGGGTGGGGGGGGGGAAGTGGGGGGTTTCTTATTGGGAAATCCAGGCAGCATATTTTGCTCCCATGCTGCAAATTTGTAGAGCAAGACACATTTTAACATTCCACATGCGTGGCTTGTCGCACCACAAACAGCACATGCCTGCATGTGGGGCATGCGGCCACGGTCTTTAAACAGTTATTAGAATAGGCCAACATTCTCCAAGGCAGTGGTGGGCAACCTTTTTGGCAGGTATTCCATAAGGTAAGTCCTTCCACTGCCCTAGTGTCACTCAGAACTCCTTCTTCTACCTGGACCTCTGGACAATCTGTGGCTCCACTCTTTATTTCCTACCCTATCTGCTGTGTTCCAAGCAAAATGACTATGCATATCACTTGTGGCACACATACCATGAATGTGCACTTCTGCCCTCTGGGTTTCAAAAGATTTTTGTACCAAATCACTATCTCACAATCTCAGAAGAATAAGCACTTTCTTCATGTCCTCATTGTATGCATCTCTGGTGTACGTTCAGTTGTTATCATATTTATAGATCATCGATAGAGAAGGAAATCCCAAAGCCAAAACAGAGATAAACTACAGAATGATTTGAGCTTTATCCATCCCTTTGTACTATAAAAATGTGCAAAATTCCCCAAACCAAACCCAAACTTCTGCCAAGCCCTCTCACCAGAGTACAAACATACTTAATTTCACCATTGAATTTCTTCTTCATATTGTTATACAATGTCATTTTATTAGGACAGATGGTGTTGGAAGGTATATAACTAAATGGGTGGGTCATATTTATACCTGGCCATAAAACTTCCAGTTATTTTGACATTAAATTAACAATTAGTTCAAAAGGAAAGCAACAAGGTGAGATTTAGATCTAATAAATTTGGGTTCTACATACATGACGAAAAAAGAAACAAAGAACTGCACGGAGACAAAGTCTGATTACATAGCTAACATTAAAACCTATTACAGTGAAATTATTTTACTTTTCCATTTTCTCTACTACACAGCTAAAGATGACAGCAATTTTAGCAAAGTAAAATTCCGGAGTTGCTGCGTGAAAGATACAGAACTGACATCTACAGGGGATGAAAAGAAGAGGGGTGAGCCACAAGAAGGCATAAGTTAAGAGCTCATCCACAATATAAAAATGCCCAAGAAGCATTATATTAAACAGCAATTAACAAATGCTTCATAAGGAATTTTTTTTTTCCAACTAGGTAAGGAACATCTGACTTTTTAGGGCTGGAAACAGAAGGTTGAAATTTAGCAACTGTTTGAAAATACAAATAATGTTTATTTTAATACATTATTTCCATAGATGTAAATCATGATTTAAAATACTGAACATTTCATTGATCACTGGAAATCTAAAGTTGTTAACTTGGTAATACTCTTTTTATCAAGTATTATTACTGCTAACAGCCACTGACTCCCAAAAAGATTCTTCCAACTGCAGCCTTTCATTGGGCAACACAAAACCTGTCCACCTGTCCTACTTACAAATGAATTATAGAACTCTGGCTTTGTTTCTATAAATTTAAAGAAATGGAGGGACGAGGGAGCAACAGCCTGGTCTTATTTGACTGGATATCACTACATATTTCTGAATTTATATTAAGAGTTGCACAGTGTCTACATGTCAAGCCTACCAAATCTGCTTGATCAGGGCAAATTATGCACATATAATGGAATATGCTACTATCACCAGGCAGTAAAGCAGAGCTCTCATCAAGCCAAGTTATTTCACATTGTCTCCTCCAATACACTGCTGAAATGCTGCCAGAATTGAAGAAGTGCTGTCTAATCCATAAATCAGACAGCCTATAGGGGTTGTAGTACTCCTGGCTGATAGCCTGCAATTATAAAATGGTAGTTTAAAGCCTGATTACTGTCTCTTTGTTTTTCCCTCTTTCCCGCTCTCATTTTAATTATCATCTTTACAGATGCTGGATGTATACTTCAGTTGGTACCTTGTACACTACAAAGAAAAGTCAGCTGTAATATAAAAAAACCCAACCTTTTGCCCTTAAAAGCTGAAACCTATACACATATTCTCAAGTCTGAGCTTTCACTGAATTACAAATTGATTTACCAAAAAATTTGATCAGTGTATAATTAAAAAAGAAAACAAACTTCAAGGAGAACTAAGAGTCTGTAAAAGTTTTATATATGGTTTCAAATGGTTAAAACAACGTTGCAATTTAGAACTCAAAATTACTTTTGAAAATTAGTGCCACATTAGGAGATAATTGAAGTTGAAACAAAACCAGAATAAAGAAGGCAAAAGTTAAAGTTTTCTTTTTGAGCTCCAATTTAAATATATATGTATATATTCTTAAATCAAGCACTGTCCCAGAATGCTACAAATTTAAAACACAGCACATTGTGAGTGGATGATCAAGTTAGCTTACTGTAATATGCTCAAATAAGGGTAATGCAATGTTTACATGATACCCAGAATGAAAAGAGAAATTGGTTGCTATTTCAGTTGTAATACTTTACTTCGAATACTAGAAGCTGCAAGTAAGCTTTATTTTTAAATGATTTAATGTTTTTTGCTTACTCTTAGCATTCTCAAAGGCTAGGGACAGAAGTTACACATAAACCAGCTTAAGTGATCAGAAACTGACTTAAACTTGTAACAGAACATAAGTTCAGTGCACATAAACCAGTTTCAAGATGGCCAAAATTGGCTTAAGATAAACCTGGTTGAATGTAGTATCAGACTTAACTAATTTGGGTCAAACCTGTTTATGGAACTTCTGTCCCAGACCCCTTCCTGGTTTAAGTCAAATCAAAGTCCCCACCATCTCAGCATGCTTTTCAGCCCTGGCCTGAGTAGGGCTGGGTTTTCTGCTCCAGAGAACATAGATTCATAGATCGTTAGGGGCTGGAAGGGACCTTGTAGATTATCGGGTCCAGTCCCCCTGCACTAGGCAGGAAAAGACAACTAGGGTCAACAGAGCTGGCCCTGCCACTCTTCTCCCTAGTCAGAACTCTGGCTGGCTGAGACAGAACGGTGTCCACAAAGGTCGCAATCTGTCAGTGTTCAAGAGGGGATGAGAGAGAGATGTGGCAAATGACCTGGTTTGCAATGCATGGGACCTGTGAGTGCCCATCAGTTTGCTGCAGACAATATGAAAAAGCAGGGAGGAGATTGAAAAGCTTAGTGTCATCAATAGCCTGACTTCAAGAGGGTGATATCTGTCGGAGTTCATTTCAGAACTGGGTACTACTTCCTCATTGTACTAGTAAATTGGAGAGTTATACCCCGAGTCAGTAAAAAAAAAAATTAAGAAGTCATAGAATCATAGAAAGATGGAAAAAAACACAGGTAGTTAATCCACTCCAACCCTTGCTCAAAGAAGGATCATCCCAGATTAAACCATCCCAGCCAAGTGTCTGTCTAATAATCTCTTAAAAACTTGCAAGGATGGAGACTCCATAGCCTCTTTAGGTAAACCATGCTTAACCACCCTCATAGCTCATGTTAATATCCAACCTAAATTTCCTGGATTGCGATATAAGAACATTACTTCTTGGCCTATCTTATGTAGCCAAGGAGGACAGTCAATCACCATTCTCTTTATGCTCACCTTTTTTTGTATTTGAAGCCAATTATCAAATCCCCACTCCCCCTCAGTCTTTTCTTCTCCAAACTAAATAATTCCAATCTTCTTCTCATTATTCAGTTTTCTAGACCTCTGTTCATTTTTGTTCCTGCCCACTGGACACTTCCCAATGTATTTGTTTCATTAAGTGTGTTGCCCCAAACTGGATACAGTGCTCCAGCTGAGGCCTCACCACTGCTGATTAGAGTGGAGGAATCACTTCCTCTGACTTGCAGGCTACATTCCTGTTAATATAGTGCACTATACTAGGTCTTTTAAATATATGTATATTGGGAGAAAGAGAGAGAGAGAGAGTGTAAAAAATGGAGAAATGGTCCACATTATTCAAATGAAATACAATAAGGACAAGTGCAAAGCCCTGCCCTTAAGTGAACAAATACAAATTGGGGGATGGCAAGTAAGGCTGTGGTACAGCAGAAAAGGACCTAGGGATTACAGAGGACCAGAATATGCATCAACCATGAACATCTGTAACTCGTATTCTGGTCCATGTGTGTGTGCTGAATGAGTCAACCATGAGCCAACATGTTACCAGTCAACAAGCGTTCATGGTTGACTCATATTTGGGTCCAGTTTCATTCCTAGGTCCTTTTCTAGCATACCACAGACTCAGCTGTCATCTCCCAATTTGAATTTGTACATTTAAGTGCAGGGATTTGCACTTGTCCTTACCGCATGTTGTTCAACTAAATGTGGATCATTTCTCCAGTTTTTAAAGGTCATTATGAATGCTAATCCTATCCTCCAGAGTATATGGAAATCCATCCAGCCTGTCATCTGCAAATTTGCTAACTATGCACTCAATCCCATCCTCCAAATCATTAATGAAGATATTGAACAGTGCTGAATGCAGGGCAGACCCCTGGGGAACCCCACTTGATACTTCTCCTAATTGGACATTGAGCTATCGATGACTACTCTTTAAGGATGATCTAAATGGTAATATACAGTAGTTTCATCTAAATCAGGGACAGGCAAAGCCTGATTCTCAGGCTGGATAAGGCTCACAGAAGACTCCATTTCTCAGTAGCCCCTGCCCATGCCGCTGCAGCCAGTTTCCAGGGAAACCCCAGCAGCAGTGCTATGACAGTGTGGGTCCAGGGTTTCCATGGAGACCAGCCCCAGCAGCATTAGCAGGGTGCTGGCAGGGTGGGGAGTTGCTATGTGTGCGGGCCGCCTCCCGATCCCATCCATGTCGCCATGAGCGGGCCGGGAGCAATATGCGGACCCATCTTTGCGCACGTGGGCTGTGGCCAGCAGCCCGGGCACGCGGGGTCGGAGAAGACCGGTGGCGAGCTAGAATTAGTCACGGACGTGTAATGGTTGATTTAAAGATTGTTTACTTACACCAAAGATGGTCGCGGTGTAGGCTGGACAGTTTCCAGGTTCAGCTCTGCTTAAATCCTCGTTAGAGGACTACGACAATTCATTCTTGGCCCCGGAGTTATTGAAGCTCCGCGGGTTCGGTTCTTGGCCCCGGAGTTATTGAAGCTCCGCGGGTTCGGTAGTTGGCCCCGGAGTTATTGAAGCTCCGCGGGTTCGGTTCTTGGCCCCGGAGTTATTGAAGCTCCGCGGGTTCGGTTCTTGGCCCCGGAGTTATTGAAGCTCCGCGGGTTCGGTTCTTGGCCCCGGAGTTATTGAAGCTCCGCGGGTTCGGTTCTTGGCCCCGGAGTTATTGAAGCTCCGCGGGTTCGGTTCTTGGCCCCGGAGTTATTGAAGCTCCGCGGGTTCGGTTCTTGGCCCCGGAGTTATTGAAGCTCCGCGGGTTCGGTTCTTGGCCCCGGAGTTATTGAAGCTCCGCTGCACCGGGGTTCTCTTCTGCAGCAGAAAACTCTACCGTGCAAAGAAGCTGCAATTTAGCGGGAAAATAATTTAGCGGTGCCGAAGCACACACAAACAAAAAAATCACAACTTTGGGTTGTGACACTATGGGATCAGGATCTCATGGAGTGATAGGGTAGCCCAGAGCCGGGGCAGAGCTGCGACAGGGGCGTGCAGGTAGCGGCTCTACCCTGGCTCCAAACCACATTGTCACCACTACAAGATCCCAGCCCCAACCCCGCAGCAACTCCCCATTCAGTCCTGCGCCCTGCCAGTGCTTCTGGGGCTGGTCTTCATGGAAACCCTGGCCCCATGCTGTCGCTGCCAGGCTCTGCTGCTGGGGTTTCCAAGGAGACCAGCCACAGTGACACCGGCAGGGGCTAACAGGAAATGGAGTCTAACCACTGGCTGGATCTGCTATTTTGCCCACCCCTGATCTAAACTGTTTTTCCTTAGCTTTCTAATGAGAATATTATGAAGGACAGTGTCATAAGCCAGTGACCAGGGAGCCAGAAAACAGGGACTGCAAACAGGGTAAGCGGTTTGCAGGCAGTTCACAGGCCAGTTCATGCTCCCCCACCCTCCTTTTTGAGGGGCAAGCCTTTCAGCTTCACATGAGGAAGCAGGAAAAAAAGGAACCCTTTGGGACCAATGAGCAATAAACAGGCCAGCCTCCAGGTGAATTAGGAAAGGTGTGTTTGGAAGAAGAGCAGTAAGAAAGAGAAGGTAGATTAAGAGACCCAGGGAAATGACAGGAGGACTCTGCAATGCAACAGCCACAGCCACTGCCTCTGCTTGCACTTGTGAGGTTTCTGTCCAGGCAGGACTGCTCACCATCAATGTTTCCACCCAAATCCAGGTTTGGTGCTACGGGGACTGCAGCTTGCACGTTACTTCCAGTGATGGCCAGATCAGGGAGTGCCTGCAGTGTAAGCGGTGCCTTCTGGTGGTCTCTCTCAGGGAATAGGCAAGATTACAAGAGGAGGTGGCGAGGCTCCAAAGCATCCTCTGCCATGAGGAGTTCATTGAGTTGATGCTGGTGGAGACCTCCAGGACTGTGGAGGAAGAAATGCCAGAGGCAGCGCTAGAGAAGAGAGAAGACATGGACACCCAAGAGGGTGGAAGTTGGAGGCTTGTGACTTCTGGCAGCAAGCAGAGATTTTCACCTTTACCTGCAGTAATTCATTTGGAAAACAGATATGCAGCCCTGGTAACAGAAAGGGAGGAGCACATACCATTGGTGGAGGAAGACAGTCCAGGGCTCACAAAGGTGGTAAGGATCGAGACAACAGCCACCAAGAAGTGATGGGTGGTGGTGATCGGAGACTCCCTTCTGTAGGGGATGGAGGGAGCCATCTGCCAACCTGACCTGTTGTCTTGGGAAGTCTGCTGCCTGCCTGGAGCCTGGATCCAAGATGTCACAGAGAAACTACTGAGGTTCATTCGG